TTTGCAAAGAAGAAAAGAGGCACAAATGTGCACTAAGAACGAAGTGCTTTAAAAACCCATGGAAAACCGAAAACAAGATGAGCAGGCAGCCCCAGAGTAGCCACAAGCGTGGAAGGGGAGAACCTCAGGGTGGCTGTGTGGCTGTGTGGCTGCGTGGCTGCGTGGCTGCGTGGCTGCAGACTTCTTTTTGTTATGTATTTTTTACTACAATAATAATAAAAACAATTAAGCGAAAGGGGAGTAACTTTTTATACAAAGTGCCCTCACGGCATGTCTGTGCTTTTGAGGGCAGTTGTGTGTGTTGAAGATGTTGCCTCAGGGACTTCAGACAGTGCCAGTCCGCCACTCCCTGGGCCCCGTGTGCAACTCTTGTCCACGGTGTGCGGAACCAGCCAGGCCAGGGCCAGCTTGGGATGCAGTGGAGTCACCCAAGACCTGCTCCGTATTTGTGTTTCCAAGACACATCAGGAAGGTCCTGCTTAGAAAGGAACCCGGGAGCCCCCGGTGTGTTTGGGCCAAGGGCAGGGCCGCCAGTGTTGCCGTCCGTGGCATGTGCGTGCACACTCAGTCGTGAACCACATGCGCCTTCCCCAGGGCTGCTCGGACCCGGCTGGCTGCTTGGACCCGGCTGGCTCCTCCTGGCGCATGCTTCCGTGCACCCAGAGAGCATGAGGTGCGTGTTAGAGATCTTGCTCCTTGTGCACAGGGCTGCTGCCAGGCCTTTCTGAGCCAGTACACAGCCTTTCTGGTGTGTACCCTCGGCACTGCGGTTAGGGTTAGAGGCAGCCATCTGTGCAAGGCCACGCCGTTCTCAGATCAGCACCGTTCTCTTTCCTTTGTTTAATTCTAATAAAGTGCCCGGTGAGCACTGCCACCAAGGGGCTGTCAGACTGGCAAGGACTGAGGAGCAGAAGTGCTTTTTCCTGCAGACCTTCTCCCTTCGTGGCATGGCAGCCACGGAACCAGGCATTTCCTCAGCCAGGCAGCCAGAGCCCCCCTCCCCAGACCCTTTTCTAGCTGAGTTCTTCCGTTTCAGGATCAGGGCCACTGAAACATCAGAAGCCACCAACGCTGAGTCCCAATTGTGGAGGCGGGGGGTGCGTGGGAGCGGTGGAGGAAGGTGTAGGAGCTGTGGAGGTGGGAGTGTGGGGGCTGTGGAGGGGGGTGTGTGGGGGCTGTGGAGGGGGGGAGTGTGGGGGCCATGGAGAAAGGTGTGCGGGCTGTGGTGGGGACGTCAGAGCCGTGGAGGGGACGTGAGAACCGTAGACGGGGAGGGGTGGGGGCCGTGAGGGGATGCGGAGGGCCAGGGAAGAAGTAGTGTGGGCCATGGTGGGGGCGTCGGGGCCGTGGAGGAAGGAGTGCGGGCCGTGGTGGGGGTGTGGGGGCCATGGAGGAAGGGGCGCGGGCCGTGGTGGGGGCGTGAGGCTGTGGAGGGGACACAAGTGTGTCTGTGCCTGCTGCCACCTGTGGGGTGCCCTGAGGGGGCCCGTTGGCCAGTGCTGGCACGTATTTCTCTGGGAGGTTCACCTTGCGTGTGAGGATGGAATGCCGCTGTGCTCCACACGAGAATGGGGAGTGTAGAGAAGGAATAGATGAAGTCAGAATGGCACTCAGGAACCTGGGAACAGCAGATGGGTGTCGTGGTCCCCTTGGGCCGCCTGGGAGGCCCCTTGTCTTAGTTTTGCTTTGGCCTGGCTGCAACGAAACCTTGGTGGCAGTAAGGAGACCTTGGCTGTGTTACATGGCAGCACTTTGCCAGGCCCACTGGATTGGCAGTAGTTTATTCCCGTGATTGGAGTCCCCTGGAGGGTCCTTGTCAACGGCACTGGGTCCAGGAGCCAGGGACGAGGGGCAAAGCTGTCTGTTCTGGGGCTCTGATGACCAATGTCCAATGCGGGGAGCACTTGGGCCTGCGCCTCTCTGCACACCAAGGCCTGAGGCCCGATCAGGAGCTGGCTAGAGGCTCTGCTGTTTCAGTGGCCCTGATCCTGTAACTGAAGAAACCTCGGCTAGAAGAGAGTCTGGGGAAGAGGGTCCTGGCTCCCTGGCTGAGAAGGTGCTTGGTTCCTTGTTGCTGAGGATCTTGCACCTCTCCAGTTAGCCACATATTTTCTTCCTTGGAAAGAAAGGAGGTCCTTGGAAAGCTGTTCAGTCTGTCTGCTCATCAGCCGCTTCTGCCAGTAGCTTCAGTTTCTCGCCCCTGCCCCTCCACTCGTGGTCATGCTTCTCTCCCGCCCACCTGGGGTGGCTTGGGACTCTGTGCAGGGTCTGTGTGTTCCTGAGGCATTTTGCCATTCACTCCCGACCGGTGACTTCGATCACTTTGGCTAGGCCATTCAGTTTTTTTTTTTTTTTGAGACGGAGTCTTGCTCTGTTGCCCCGGCTGGAGTGTGGTGACGTGATCTCGGCTCACTGCAGCCTCTCCCTCCCGGGTTCAAGGGAATCTCCTGCTTCAGCCTCCCGAGTAGCTGGGATTACAGGCACATGCCATCTTGCTTGGCTAAGTTATGTGTTTTTAGTAGAGACGGGGTTTTGCCGTGTTGGCCAGGCTGGTCTCGAACTCCTGGCCTCAAGTGATCTGCCCGTCTCGGCTTCCTGAAGTGCTGGGATTATGGGCCTGAGCCAGTGTGCCTGCAGATTATTCACTTTTAGTTTATTACTCAGTGTCTTGGTCAGAAGTACCGGAAGTCCTGGGTGATGTTTTATGATTGTTTTGGGGAACATTTTGGAAGCTTGACAGTCGTGCTTTGAAAACCCCACAGAGGTACAGGGGCAGATTACACAGCCGCATTGTTTCAACTTACAAACTCCACTAGTAGTCTTGAACATGTGTGTTCAGAAATCTTGATTCCTTTACTGCAGGGAAACCTAGACCTGTCCCTGCCAGATGTTGCTGTTTTTGAGTATTTAGAATTGAATTGAATGTACTGAGCACCAGTCTGACTTAAACAAAGGCCCACATTTCCTCCTTCGTGCACTTAATTCCGAGTAAAGTCCACGTTTTTATCCATGGTGCATCCTAGCGCTGCCCAGTCTCCTTTCTCATACCAGTGTCTGCATATGACAGACTCATATACCTGACTTCATTGATTTATTTTTTATTTTAAAATTTATTTTGTCATCATCATTACTATTATTTTTTAAGATGAAGTCTTGCTCTGTTGCCCAGGCTAGAGTACAGTGGCATGATGTCAACTCACTGCAACTTCTGCCTCCTGGGTTCAAGCGGTTCTCCTGCCTCAGCCTCCAGGAGTAGCTGGGACTTCAGGCACACGCCACCACACCTGGCTAATTTTTGCATTTTTAGCAGGGATGGGGTTTCACCAAGTTGGCCAGGCTGGTCTTGAACTCCTGACCTCAGGTGACCCACCCACCTCGGTCCCCCATAGTGCTGGGATTGCAGGCATAAGCAACTGTGTCTACCCTGACTTTATTTAAATATTAGCCTTTAGGAGCCGGTAGGAGTTGGATAGATTTTTCTTCCTTGTCTCATCTCATCAGTTCTGCTGATCAGCCCTTACTGCTGACATTTTTGTACATGGACATATCCTTTAACATTGCGTATGAATTGCACATTAACTGCCCACTAATTGAAAACCAGCCTTAATGTGTCCCTCAGATCTGGGCAAGTGCCTTCAGTGACAGACGCTGTCTCACCTTGATGAAGAACCCCTTGGAATAGGTTTGTTACCAGTTTGATGGGATTCCTAAGTGTTATCTCCAAATATATACTTAGAACATTTTAAAGGAACATTCTGAGTTAGCAGATCCCTCCATTCTACTGAATGTTAAAAATCTCTTAAAATCTTATTTGAAAACCAAGAACATGGGGCCTTGTCGTCGTAAGTGGACACCCACTGAGACATGGCTGTAAGAGACTGCAGATGGCGGCTGGGTGGTAAAGAATCTCGTGTTTTGTAGTTCAGAGAGTTTTAAGATATCCAGAAACACTTGTACTCCTGCCCAGTTTTGATGTCTAGATTTAAATAAACCCAAGGCCGTAAATGCAAAACACAAAACCCAATTTTTGTTACCCTGTGTTGTGTCCACTTGCAGTACATACAGTCTCTTCTGACTTTGGAAAAGCCTTAAAACCTCTGAGCCCAACCCACACCGCAGCTGTGTTTCTCCCTGTCACACACTTTCCTTAGGTAAAGTGGGAGGGTTCTGACCTCACCATCCCTTCCCACCGCAGAGTTCATCCCAGACCATGGCTCAGACACACACTCCGTCAAGGCCAAGGCCGGACCATCAGGGGTGCAGAGCTTGGGGGCGGAACCCCAGGCTCATTTCTCCTGGACAGCCCACAGGTGGCGGCATGGAGGTGGAGAGCATGGCTGCCCTTTGCTCATGCGCCTCTGGGGGACCTTGGGGCATCACGGTTTTGGGCTTGAGAACTGGACCTCACAGGAGAGATGCGTAGGGAGGCAGCCCTACGGCTGAGGTGGAAGGTGGTCGGTAGCCTGGTGGTTTCGGAGGCAGACACTGGGGTTCTTTGGACAGAGTAAGCTGCTACCCTAGCCTGCTTCTGTGACTGTGGGCTCCACCCAACTTCTCTGGTTTTCTTACCCTGTAATGAATGATTGTGAAGATTCCCCAAGAGCCCTAAATGGAGAGTTCCTTGTTCCTTGAAAGTCATACAAACCTTATACTGCTGAACAATTACTTTTTTTCCTGAGTTTTAATATGCCAGTCACCCTCTGTTAACCAGGGACAGCATAGTTACGTGTAACTAGATACACCACTGCTATTGTATTTTTTTCCCTGTGATCTTTCAGGTCATTTAAATTGAGGAAAGAAACCCTGCCTGACTCAGCCTCCTTTTGTTCTTGTCTGGGTGGCCCCTCATGGATTTTATGAGACCCCCCCCCAGACTCAAGGGTGGTTTGTCCCGCTGAAGACAGATGCGCTTGGAATGTGCTGTAGCTGTATGTGCGCTGTGTCGTGCTGTGTTCTGATGAGAAATGGTAACTTCCCATTTCATATTTTGCTTCCTCTAGGGGGACAGCCGCGCCGCTGCTGCTTTTCCGAAGAGGTGACTTCGACCGAGCTCTCCAATGGAGACCAGAGTCACAAGCTGGGAGATAACGGCTCGGAAAGAGACACCGGCGAGTCCAAGGCGGGGATCGCAGCTTCTGTGTCCATACTTGAAAACAGTAGCAGAGAGACTTCTAGAAGGCAAGAGCAGCACAGATTTTCTACGGACTTAAAAATGCCAGCATTTCACCCCAAGCAGGAGGTGCCCGTTCCTGGTGATGGCGTGGAGTTCCCTTCCAGTACGGGAGCGGAGGGCCAGACGGGTCACCCTGCAGAAAAGCTGTCCGATTTGCACAACAAGGAGCACTCTGGGGGAGGGAAGCGGGCGCTGGCCTCAGACCTCGTGCCGCTGGATTTAAGTGCGAGGTCGACGCGGGATGACCCCAGCAATAAGGAGACAGCCTCCTCCCTGCAGGCGGCTTTAGTCGTTCACCCGTGTCCTTACTGCAGCCACAAGACCTACTACCCCGAGGTCCTGTGGATGCACAAACGCATCTGGCACCGCGTCAGCTGCAACTCCGTGGCTCCCCCGTGAATTCAGCCCAACGGTTACAAAAGCATCAGAAGCAATTTGGTTTTCCTTTCCCGGAGCGGACGCACGGGCCCCCCGCCTGCCCTCGGTGGCAAAGAATGCCAGCCTTTGCTCCTTGCTCGGTTCACCCGCACTCAGGTGCCAGGGGGGGTGCCAGGGCCCAAAAGTGGCTCTTCTCCCCTGGGAGGGGTCACAAAAGCCGCTAGCATGCCTAAGAATAAGGAGAGCCATCCCGGAGGGCCCTGTGCTCTGTGGGCGCCCGGCCCCGACGGGTATCGACAGACCAAACCCTGTCACGGCCAGGAGCCGCATGGCGCGGCCGCACAGGGGCCCCCGGCCAAGCCCAGGCAGGAGGCTAGCTCCAAACCGGTGCCTGCCCCGGGTGGCGGGGGCTTCAGCAGGAGCGCCACCCCCACGCCCACCGTCACCGTCATCACCCGGGCTGGCGCGCAGCCCTCGGCTAACAGCAAGCCCGTGGAGAAGTTTGGGGTCCCCCCAGCGGGGGCTGGCTTTGCCCCCACAAGTAAGCACAGTGCCCCGGACTCCCTGAAAGCCAAATTCAGCCCTCAGCCTCAGGGTCCACCTCCTGCAAAGGGCGAAGGGGGCGCTCCTCCTCTACCTCCCCGCGAGCCCCCTTCGAAGGCGGCCCAGGAGCTGAGGACTCTGGCCAGCTGTGCTGCGGGGTCCAGGGGCGACGCGGCCTTGCAGGCCCAGCCCGGCGTGGCTGGGGCGCCCCCCATCCTACACTCCATCAAACAGGAGCCGGTGGCCGAGGGGCATGAGAAGCGCCTGGACATCCTCAACATCTTTAAGACGTACATTCCAAAGGACTTTGCCACCCTCTACCAGGGCTGGGGTGTCAGCGGCCCTGGGCTGGAGCACAGAGGTAAGATGTGCGGGCCCCCTCTTCCCCGGGCCACATGTGACCTCCAGAGCCACCCCTGGAAGGCCAGGGCTGCTGCCCACCTGCCTGCCCACGGCCTCTGAGGACAGAGCCAGCCTGCCCCCTCCCACTGCTGAGCTGAGAGCCACACCCTGGCCCTGGCCCGGGAGCACAGCAGATGGGAACAGCCCCCCCAGGCTCCACCACTGCCCTGCCGGGGAACGCCTGCCTGGGCTTGGTGGTCCTCTGCATGCTGGCCCTGGGAGGAGTCGCAAGCCCTGCACGGCTTCCTTCCTGCTGAGAGGATGTTTCCTCCACACCGACATTCTGCAGGAGCAGGCAGACGTGATTGCACTTCACGTGTTTGTCATTTTAAACAGAATCCGTAGATGTTCATTGTCCTGTGTCTCCAAAGACAAGAATATTTATGTAGTGTGATTAAGGTTTTTATATATTTTTTTATATATTTTTATATATCTATAATTTAAAAAACACCTATTTAGTTCTCTAGTATTAGTAAGGAAAGCCTTGCAGAGGACGGATATACCATGTAAGTCTGGAGAATGGGATTTGTGCAAAAATTCCTGAAAAAAATACTTGGAAAGGGTTGTCTTCGCTTCTCCCTCTGCCTTAGTATTGCTGTGTCACAGTAACACTGAGAAGGAATTGCTTTCCTCCTGCCTCCCCGGTGCGCGCCCTGCCCTGCATGCGGCACCCTGTGCTGGAACATAAATTGAAGGTCACTCTCACTTAACGTCCAGAACACAAAGAAACCCAAGTTCTGTTAAAAACCAAAACAAAACACAGTCTCAGTTCATTACCTGAGAAGTCCTAACCATGCTTTGTTAGAATTGTTCATTGTGGCCGGGCGCGGTGGCTCACGCCTGGAATCCCTGTACTTTGGGAGGCCAAGGTAGGCGGATCACGAGGTCAGGAGTTCAAGACCAGCCTGGCCAATACAGTGAGAGACATTATCTCTAACTAAAAACACAAAAATCAGCTGGGCGTGGTGGCGGACACCTGTAATCCCAGCAACTTGGGAGGCAGAGGCAGGAGAATTGCTTGAACCCAGGAAGCGAAGGTTGCAGTGAGCGGAGATCATGCCACTGCACTCTAGCCTGGGTGAGAGCGAGACTCCATCTCAAAAAATATATATAAATAAATAAAAAAATAACATCGTAAGCCTGCGGTTTCTTAAAGTGGTTACCATTAGAAATGGCCTCTCAGAGCCAGGGCTGCAAACTCAGGCTGCTGGCAGGACTGTGAAGGGTGTGGTTCTGGGTCTGGGAGTTGAGATGTCAGCAGTGAGCTTCCCCAGATCCACCGTGGGACGATGTCCCAGTGGGTGCTGGGGTCACCTGCTGAGCTCCTGGCTTAGGCTGGGGTTTCAGAGCCAGCCTAGATCTGTGACCTGCTCGGGCCGTCTTGGCATGAGGGATGCTCACCCCAGGTGTTTTCCAGTAGGAGACATCGCAGGTCTGCTGCCGCCTTACAGATTTGCCGGCAAAGGCCTTACTCCAGCCGACCTTGTTACATTAGACCGCTGAGCGCTTGTGAACTTTTTAGGATGAGGCCGAGACCCGGACACTCGAGGGTCTCGTGAGATGTGTTGGGCTGAGGTGTGACTCGGGAGTGGGGGTCCCTGAGGCGGGGTCGTAGATCCTCATCTCTTCTCCCTGCCCGTGTGCTCTGGGTGGATGGTGTAACCTGAGGAGGCCGTCACGGGTGGGAAGTGCGGTGCAGTGCCATGTGGATTGATGGTTTGACTTTTCCCGTGTTCAGTTAAAGTGAGTGAGTTCTCTCAGCCTCAGCAGGGTTTCTCAGTCATGTAGATTATTTGCTGCAAAGTGAAAAACAAGTTTGGTGGCCCTTTGACGTGATGCCAGCTCACTTCTGGAGATGCGGGTTTTCTTGGAACCCAAAGCAGAGAAGGCTGAGTGGTGAGGGTTCCGCTGTCTTGGAAGCTGGGTGTCCCTGGCTGCACCTTGCCCACTCTGTCCTTCCCCTCGTGGTTGCCTCCCAGCAGAGCACGGGGGGTTTGACGCCCGCTTAGTCCACCTGACCCGTAATTTAGTCACGCGCTCACAGCCTGCACACACCCTAAGTTCTAAACCTGTCAGCTTACACCTGGAAAGTGGCATCCCCAGTTTTTAAAAGGCCTCTGAGCTGCCCTGTGGGTGGCATAGTTGCTGTTTCTGAGAAAGTAGAAGTGAGTTCTAAGGTAAGGATTTGAAATTTCGGATGATAGAATTTGAAGTCCAAAATAGGCTGAAGTATTTTCCCTTTTCTTACAGACATCTTTAAAAATAAATGGTTCTAAGGCCTTTTTTTTTTTTTGGAAAGAGAGAGGTTAAATATTTATCTTTCATATGTGAAAAATACTAGTCATAAAGCACATGGGCTCATCTTGGGTTATTTATTCTTATAATATACACATTGAGACATAGCGTGAGTCAGCAAATCTATGGTTTCTAAGTCTACTCTAAATTGGATTTCTTAAGGGAAGTGCTTTCACTTTTTTGGTCTTAAAATACACCTGTTAGTAGGTGCATTATTAGGATCCTGGCTTCCCAGGTATAGAGTACCTGAGGTCAGCCTGTCTAGATACTCGGTCAGCGCACCTGAGAAGTGCTGAGCATCTCCAGATGGGACGCCTCTGGTGAGGGGCTCGGCACCTCCTGGGCCCCTAGCTTTGGTGAACTTCCCTTGCCTGCAGGTCTCTGTGTTGAAGCCATCAGAACAAGCTGAGAGCTCTTCTATGTGATAGTCCTTTAAACCTTCAGACACTTGTCTCTTGTCTTTCCTGGACCTAGCATCCCTGCTTTACATCCATCCTCTGCCTGGTCTCCAGGGCCTTCTGTGTTTATCCTCTACCTCGTCCCCAGGACCTCTGTGTCCATCCTCTACCTGGTCTCCAGGACCTTCTGCATCCATCCTCTACCTGGTATCCAGGGCTTTCCCTGTCCATCCTCCACCTGCTCTCCGGGGCTTTCCCATCTATCCTCTGCCTGGTTTCTGGGACCTTCCCCATCCATTCTCTGCCTGGTCTCTGGGGCCTTCTGTGTCTATCCTTCTACCTGGTCTGTGGGGCTTCACGTCCATCCTCTACCTGGTCTCCATGGCCGTCCCTGTCCACTCTCTAGCTGGTCTCCAGGAACTTCACGTCCATCCTCTGCCTGGTCTCCAGGACCACCTTTGTCTATCCTCTGCCTGGTGTCTGGGACCTTCTTTGTCTATTCTCTCTCTGGTCTCCAGGACCTTCTTGTGTCCATCCTCTACCTGCTCTCTGAGGCCTTCCCATCCATCCTCTGCCTGGTTTCTGGGACCTTCCCCATCCATTCTCTGCCTGGTCTCTGGGGCCTTCACGTCCATGCTCTAAACCTGGTCTCCAGGGCCTTTGCTGTCCACTCTCTACCTGGTCTCCATGGCCGTCCCTGTCCACTCTCTACCTGGTCTCCAGGAACTTCACGTCCATCCTCTGCCTGGTCTCCGGGACCTTCTTTGTCTATCCTCTGTCTGGTCTCCGGGACCTTCTTTGTCTATCCTCTGTCTGGTCTCCGGGACCTTCTGCGTCCATCTTTTACCTGGTATCCAGGGCTTTCCCTGTCCGTCCTCTAACTGCTCTCCGGGGCCTTCCCATCCATCCTCTGCCTGGTCTGTGGGACCTTCCCCATCCATTCTCTACCTGGTCTTCGAGGCCTTCATGTCCACTCTCTAGCTAGTCTCCATGGCCGTCCCTGTCCACTCTCTAGCTGGTCTCCAGGAACTTCACATCCATCCTCTACCTGGTCTCCCGGACTTTCTTTGTCTGTTCTCTTTCTGGTCTCCGGGACCTTCTATGTCCATCTTCTACCTGCTCTCCGAGGCCTTCCCATCCATCCTCTGTCTGGTCTCCGGGACCTTCTGTGTCCATTCTCTACCTGGTCTCCGGGACCTTCACGTCCACTCTCTTCCTGGTCTCTGGGGCCTTCTGTGTCCATCCTTCTACCTGGTCTCCAGGGCCGTCCCTGGCCACTCTCTACCTGGTCTCTAGGGCCTTCACGTCCATCCTCTGTCTGGTCTCCGGGACCTTCCACATTTCCTTTCTCCATACTTGAATGTTTGTTTCTGACGCCCTTAAAGTGTTGTAGCCAGAAGGAAACCCAGCAGCTTTGGCGTGGTCAGACTATTGGAAAGGTGAACAGAACACTCGTGTTTCCTGTTACAGAGACTCGATTTCTGTTAGTGCAACTCAGGACATCTGTGCAGCCTAGATTTCCTTTTTTGAGTGTTACTGAATACTGGAGTAACTACACTTTCTTAGGACTTTTTTCTTCTACTTGTTTCTGTTCAGCTGTTTATTTTTTGTGGTGTACCTGTAGTTTTTGAGTCATGAGTCTAGAATCTTGTTTCATTCCTCCCTTGGTCAAATTGGTCTTTTTGACGTGTCTTATTATACAAGTGTATCTGTACGTTCTGGTCTTCTCACCCCATGCATTTGTTACGTGTCTGCTAGGTGGGTGTTGTCTGCAGATCTAAAGGTCACAACTTTCCTGTGCGTGGTCTTTGATTACATCTATTGCTGTAGCATGATTTTGCAGTTTTGAGGAGGTAGAAATATGCAGAGGAGAACGGTCTCAGAGAACCGGAAGTCATCTCATGTGTACATGCAACAGTTGTGGATGCTAGAAGTGTGATTCTGTGATTTTGCAGTGGACGTGTTCCATTTATACAGAGAACGTTGCTATTGCAGGATGCTTCTGAGACAGGTTTTATTCAGAAGTTAGGAAACGGGAGTCTCAGAGACTTCCCCGTCCCCCGCATGTGTTCGAGTGATGTTTCTGTAGATAGGGAGAGTCTAAAAACTCTACCCAAACAGTAAGAAAAGAACTATCGCTACCTCCCTTAGGGGTTCCCTGACCATTTAAGAAGAAAAACTCACTGCATTTTCTGTGATCATTGTACAGTGTGACTGCGAAGTCTGTAAACATACAGGAATAGAACATAAATGACTTATTGCTACAATAGCAATAAAATAATACGTGATCTGTGTTTTCAGACCTTTTGGCCAGCCTAGATGATCTGATACGATGAATCTTAGAATAAAATTTGAAGCTAATAAAATGAGATAATTCCAGATAAAATAGATGGTATTTCTTATTAGGACTTAAAAAAAGTCATTTGTACCAAGGAGGCCTTCATATTATGGTGATGAAAGCTTTATGCTTCCTTGCAGTCTGATCTCTCTCTGTAGAGTCTTTTTCATCTCCTCTTTCTCTATGGATAGCACAACACCCCATAATGACACACAACGTTGCAGGACTGGGTGACCCCTCTGAAGTTCGCCAGGCCTTTTTCTTTCACTGTTAAGTCCACTTTCCAAACACAACCTGAATTTCTAGGTGAGAACATTTGAGCTGCGTGCTCACCAGGTGGTCTTCGTTCAAATGGAGTTTGTCACCTTTGTGATTAACTCGGAATGTTGGGGTAGCTTGGGCATAACATTGTTGGCCATAAGGGCAAGTGCCCTGTCTTTAAAAAGTAAAGAGAGAGTGATATGGTGAAATGTGTGGGAAAACCATATGTGCGCGTGCACTTGTGAGTGTGTGCGCCTGCGTGAGTGCGTGTGCACGCGTGCTCATGCACCCTTAATTGAAGGAAATAAGCACAGGTGAGCGGGAGGGCTGTCCGTGTTTTCTCTGTTGCTCATTTGGATAGGAAATAGCTACCACAATTACTTGAAAAAAGAATGAGAATGACTTCATTTTTGAAAGTTCTGAATGTTAGATGACATTGCATGTCGTCATCATTAGTCAGTATTCTGTGTAGGTGTGGTCAGATTCCACCTGCAGATGCAGTCTAGATGGTACCTGGGAAAATCCAGACAACCAAAGTATTCAGAAATTTGTTTCATAGGAGCTCCACTGGCTGGTGTTTCTAGTGCAAATGAATGGGGGAACAAAATAGCTTCAAAAATCTCTTTTCTTGCCTTCCTTTCTTTCCTTCCTTCTTTTCTTTCTGCCCTTCTTTTCCTCCCTCCCTTTCCCCTCCCCTCCCCTCTTCTTTTTTTCCTTTTTCCTTTTTCTTTCTCTGAAGACAGAGTCTCACTCTGTCACCTAAGCTGGAGTGCAGTGGTGTGATCTCAACTCACTGCAGCCTTGACCTCCTGAGCTCCAGTGATCCTCCCACCTCAGCCTCCTGAGTAGCTAGAAACAGGCATGCACCGCTCGCCTGGATAGCTTTTACATTTTTAGTAGAGATGAGACCTGTCACACTGTTGCCCGGGCTGGTCTTGAACTCCTGGACTGAAGTGATCCTGCCGCTTTGGCCTCTCAAAGTGCTGGGATTACAGGCGTGAGCCACCGCAGCTGGCCCCTGTTAACTTGAGTGTTGGTTGAAATGTTTCTTCTTACTCCTTTTGTGTATGTAAGGCAATGGGAATGTTGAGTAGTCAATGGCTAAGGTGTTAAATTTCTCTGATTCATGTTAATGATCTGTCATTTAAGAAATTTGACAAGATGTGCCTCACAGTTCGTGCATTTCTTTATTATTTCCATAAACATCTATAGCGTAAACATGATTTTATGTTTTTACCTATTGAGCTACTCTCAATTAGAGTGAGAGAAACAATATTGAAGATTTGTTTTCAACCAGTGTGACTAAGGTGCCTTTTGTCATTCTCTTTTTTTTTTTGAGACGGAGTCTCACTGTGTTGCCCAGGCTGGAGTGCAGTGGCCGGATCTCAGCTCACTGCAAGCTCCGCCTCCTGGGTTTACGCCATTCTCCTGCCTCAGCCTCCCGAGTAGCTGGGACTACAGGCGCCCGCCACCTCGCCCGGCTAGTTTTTTGTATTTTTTTTGTTTTTTTAGTAGAGACGGGGTTTCACCGTGTTAGCCAGGATGGTCTCGATCTCCTGACCTCGTGATCCGCCCGTCTCGGACCAAAGTGCTGGGATTACAGGCTTGAGCCACCGCGCCCGGCCGCCTTTTGTCATTCTCTTCACTTGCTGTTCACATTCAGGTGTCAGCCTTTAGATACATAAAAACTCAGCTGCGTAAAGCAGCTTTTTAAAAAAATTATTGCAACAGGTGTGACTTTTTCTAGTTATTATTTTTTTTTCCTACTGAGTTGAGTTACTATTGCACGTGACAGTGACTCTCCCAGCCAGAGAAATGTCTTTGGAGCTACCAGCATGTGGAAAACAAGCCTTTTCTTCAGAGAGAAAAGGTGTGCAGACACACACTCTGCATCCCTTTCTAATAAAAGCCGTGTGGCTTTTTGGATCAGAAGGAAACACAAAGCCCGGCCTTTGAGTACAGGGATGTGGCAAGATCTTTGGGGAGAAGGTGGGACTTGGGGACTTCCGACCTTGCCGATGGCCAGCAAGTGCACGCACCTTGGGGGCTGCTGCCTGGTGCTTGCAGGTGTCTCCTCCCTTCTGCTGGGGGCCGCGGCCTCAGAGCCACCCAGGCAGGCAGGAGAGAGGGCCAGAAGTGGGGCCGCCCCGTGGCTGCACTCACTCTGTGTAGGTCTCCCAGAATCGCGGCCGGGTCACGGCGGGCTCTGGTCCCGCTCACTTCCTATTTTCCATGAGCCTTGTCTCTGTCACGCTGGTGTCACTCTGATTTGCCGGATGAGCCGCTTGACAGAGCTGGGTGATGGCTGGGCCCAGCCTGCAGATGCTCGGAGCCGCACAGCCGGACGTGCAGCCTGGCGGGCGCCTCCCGTCCCGGGGAGCGGTTTTTAATTCGCTGTAATTTATGCATCCTTGTAGTCCTGAGAGTGCCTGGCCTGTCAGCAGAGCCGAGATGAAGGCTGACAGTTGTCACCAGGGCCTGAAGGGAGCCTCACATGATGACACGTTAGACAGACTAATGATGTTTTCCTCTCGCTTCCCTCTCGCTCTCCTGCCTCCTCACCTCCACGCCAACCCTGCCACGGCCCTGCCACCGCCACTGCCACTACCATCACCTCGCCACCGCAGGGACGCTCCGGACGCAGGCCCGGCCAGGAGAGTTCGTCTGCATCGAGTGCGGGAAGAGCTTCCACCAGCCCGGCCACCTCAGGGCCCACATGCGGGCACACTCAGGTACCGCCCTCCCACCCAGCTGTCCCCGAGGGAAGCAGAGGAAGAGGGGCCTCTTCCGTCAGTGCCTTGACCATCCGCAGCCAGGGAGATACTGAGATTTCAGCCCCTACCAGGTTGGGGGGGCCCCGCCATCTGCCTCCGGGATCGTATACCGGCCGCCCCCACTCCACACCTGAAATGGATTTTTTTGGTATCCATGTGCCATGTGGTTTAATTTGAGATAAGCCTGTTTGCAAATGTTCCATTTTAATTAGAGAGTAACTGACTCCTCAGAAATGAATATGCTAATAAACGGCATTGCCACCAGCACACATTTAATCAGAGTACCCTTTTAGCACCGTGTAGGCATGGTTTTGTGTCCTCGCTGGCACTGACTGGACTCTGTGGGATACGCCTGGGCCCCTTTTTACCTGGCAGGATGTACTGCAAAATCCCTCAGCCTTTATGTAGAGAGCTTGCGCCCGATCAGGCTGGAAACTGTCAGGACAGTGCAGGGGCATTAGAGAGATGGGGAGACGGGGTTCTCTATCAGGACTGTGAAGGATGCACACAGAAGCTGGTCTGATGCAAGATGACACAGGCCAAATGGTAAGTAATGCAAGAAGAGGGTCCCTTACACACACACCGATAATTAATGTTGTCAGTGATTGCTTTTTTCAGCAGCGAGGTCTGAATTAAAAAGGGCAGTGGCCCCAGGCAGCCATTATCACAGTCTCTTTACTGTAAGTGTTACGGTAAATTGGTATTTTCCAGCCACAGGCTAGGCGCTGGTGTCTTTTTTTGTGAAAGTACTTAATCTGTAATGGACTCATTTAATGTGCACGTCCTGAAGCTCACACGCTCATCTGTTAACAAACCCCTTGTTCCCACAGTGGTGTTTGAGTCCGATGGACCCCGGGGTTCTGAAGTTCACACCACCTCCGCAGATGCCCCCAAACAAGTAGGTCTCATGATGAATTGGATGTCTGGGTTTTGATGCAGTAGCTGGGAAAGGTGCGCCATGATGCTCATCGCTGGAGCATGACCTCCTTTTTGTTTTTTTTCACAAGATGTGTAAATAATCCTATACACTTTCTTGGAACGTGACCCTTCGGGGCCGTCTGTGGGCAGTCCCCGCACCGAAGCCCTCCCAGCCGGTGGTGCAGGGTCTGGGTGCGCACCGCTGCTTGTTGGTTGTGTTGGGGAGGAGGAAGTCAGGACAGACTGGCGGTGACTGCAAACACTAGAAACTCCCTTTTTTTCCGAGATGGTTTCGGATATGAGTTTGCTTGAGAACAAATGATGGTTAACCTCCTTGAGGAACATTAATTTTGTGTTATTCTGTAAGAAAAGTTTCACGTCCAGCGTGGTGTCTTGCGGCTTTGTGCTTTGTTTCTCTGCATTACGAACACGACTGGCATGGCCGGAGTGCCTGAAGGTAGCTGTGTGCCTGTGCCCGTGATGCACCATTCCATCCAGGTGTGACTTGTGTACATACACCACTCAGTATACACGGAGTGTGCAGGACCCTTGCGTCAGCACGCGGTTCTGAGTCCTGCTGTAAAGCAGTGCGGCGCCCACAGCCCGCAGCGGGTCTCTTGCGTTCTTTCAGGGTGAGAGTGTGTATCTTCATTGCTCTCCCATTTTGCCCTCGGAGGACGTCACACCCGTGTTGCACAAGCATTCTCTAAATAACATTCTGGCTTTCTCCAAAGACAAACGCTCTCCTTTGTCACTGAGGAAAGAGTTTCTTTGCCATGACAATCAAGCCTTGTCTGGGTGGTTGAATTCAGTTTGTGTCTTCTGCCCTGACAAATCTAATTGTGGGATTCCTGGTTGCTGGTGAGGATGAGGGCGATTAAGACCTCCGAGGGATCCCAAGACTCAGTATGATCTAGTGAGATCTCAAAGGAAACTCGAGAATCATTCTAGTTTATTTCTGGAGGAAAAAGGTGTGAGAGGCATGAAATGGCTTCACCAAGGGCCCGCTGCTAATGAGTGATTGAGCTGGGCTGGATGTCAAATTGACATTACCTGATTAGTGATTTCGTTTCCTTTATTGCCTTGGTAGAATTTCTATGTGTTGTTAAAGGCCTTTGCTTCACGTATTGTTGACAAAAAGCCTTGCCATTTATTACAGGTTTTAAATAATTAGCTTCTGCCTTTCTTAATAAAACCCACAGTTACCCACTACTATGACAACTTATGAAATAAATAAAACATCTTTCTGAAAACGGAATTAAACGATTTCCAAATGCACGACCTCCACTGCAGTTAGGAAGCGTTGTCCTTTTTAACAGAAATAAAACCCTCTTGCCACAAACAGTCACCGTCATGTGTTTGTGGGATGTAGTAACAGCAAGGTCATGCCGTAATTGAGAATTACAAGTTGATGTTACAACTGGAGTGAGTCCTAAGTGTTCCTGCTTGCACAGGTGACCCGTTAAACCCACCAAAGACCTGGCTTTTGGGTAGGAATGTTTGACAGGGGCGGGAAGCCAGGCCAGGCAGATCTATGAACAAGTTGGTGAGATTCTTCAGGAATGCATGGCAGTTTTATTTGCTGTCTATTAATTCTGCCTGAGCCCCTTTGAAAAGCTCTTGTCCTAGGGAGAAGTAGGAGATCAAAAAGCAACTGATGTAGACTGTATTTTCAATAATTTCTGTGTTACTTATTGGTTATGCTGGGAGTTTATAATAATTGTTACTCATTCCTGCTTCTGATATAGAAAAGATGTAGTTTCATCATTGTCTTTGTCTCTCTAGACTAAAACGTTGTTACTTTACACTTCACACCAGCTAACTCTTAGTTTCGAGTTTACAGTAACTCAATATCGTGGTCTGAGTTAATGTATCTTTCAGACTTAGCTTATGTATTCACTGTTGGTGTGAAGATCTCAGTGGACCAGCTTCCCTTGCATTCGTAGGACAGTGACAGTTCAGGCCTTGGCATTAAAACTGAGCTAGATTTGTATGCATCTCCTGCTGTGGCAGCCAGTTTGTTAAATTCTGTATAAGAGATCATGGCCTCTGATAGTACTTTTTGTCTTTCGTTACATTTAAAGTAGCTTTTGGTGATTTACCACTGAATACTATGGTTCTCTAAGGAAATTGCATTTTCCTTAACGTACTTTGGAACTGTATCTTTAAGCATTCCCATACAGATTTGTTGCGTAGGATAATTGCAAAACACATCAGTAATAGGTAGAGGTTTAAATCCTAGGGTTCTTTGTTCTTATCCTGTAGTTCTTGTTGTTTACAGAAATCGCAGTAGCTATGTTAAATTTAGAATACCTTATAGATTTATAGAAAAATATTCTGTAGTTATGTATGTCTGGAATGTGATTCATACTTACCAATCATATTCTTTTTCATATTGAGAGTGCTTTACCAACATTCATTAATATTTAAATCAGATTCTTTTCCTGTGGGCTTTAGATGCTAGGGATCATGGCTGTGTTTTTTTTGGATCATGCAACACTGTGTATTCATGCAGAAATTATTTGATGTGACACTTAAAGTCAATGGACTTTTATAGATATACATAATAGATGCTAAATTATTTAATTGAAACAGCATTTGGAAATTCCATTTTATAATAATTTATTCACTCATTAACAATATTTATTGACCACCCATTGTGTGCCAGGCCTGTACAGGGTACTGGGGAGACAAGAAAACCATTTTTCGTGCTTCTCTGGTTCCAAAGGTCCATGGGTGGCTTAGACAGGAAATAGGGCAGAGCAGGGCAGCGCTGTGACATGGGAAGGGTCCTGTCATTGAGGCTGGAGGCGCTTGGAAGACTTTGGAGGGGCAGAGGGATGGGCGTTCCTGAAGAGCTCAGCACGTGGAAGGCCCAGAGTGGAGGAACACATTCCACTGGAGGGGCTGGGTGGGGGTCCGCTCAGGGAGGGAGAGCCGGAGTGGGTGGGCAGAGGCTCGGGACTAGGGTCTAGGGAGCACCAGGTCTCCTTGCTGAGACTCATGAATTTCTTCCCATGGGGGGTAGAGAGCCCAGGGGCAGGACGGACACCGTCAGAGTTGTAGCGTGAGAAGAGTGAGCAGGTCACACGCCACAGAGAATGGGCTTTGTGGTTCCTGGTGGCAGGAGCAGCCCTTGGGAGGCGCTTCGCTTGATCCCAGCGAGAGACAAGGTGGCCTGAGCTGGCATGGGGCTGGAGAGAGCGGGTAGATTTGAGAGGTAACACAGAGGGATTGGGTGTGGGAAGTGAGGGACAGGAGGGAATCATATTGACCCCAGGTCTGGCTTCAGGCAGCTGGCCCCAGGCATGATCCATTTCCCTGAGGCTGGAAGGAGGAGCAGGGTAAAACATTTCCAGGTGGAATTCAGGGTAAGTGAGAGCTTCGTGGAAACCCAGGTAGGAATGTCCAATAGGCAGGCGAAGATACGGGTTTAAAGTGGAGAGGAGAGATCCTGGCAGAGACTAAATATATCTAATAGCTATCAACATTTAAATTCATTCAAGGTCAGCCAGTGCTACTTTTAGAGACCCAGATAATATAAATTACTAATCTCTTGGGCTATTGAGTAGAGGCTTTAACGTTGATCCTCCACCATAGACATATAATGTAACCTAAGTTTCCTTATCTATAGAATAATGATAATGGTGCTTATTTTGTATACTTGCTGTGGAAATCAAGTTAGAACATACGCCATGAAGCACACATTCAATGTGACCTCGTCATTTATTCTAAAAATAAGCAATTTTCCTTAATTAATAACTGGAGGAAACTCACATACTTGGAGAGCATTTCTGTGGTGAGCTCACATGTGAACACGTCTACACACATAACGCCTGTGTGGACAGATGACTGTCATTGATAAGCCGGTTAGTAGATTTTGCTTATGAACTCAGTTTGACGGCATGTTTTCTTTACTTGGTGTCTTGTGGCTTTGTTGGAACCTGCCAGCATGCTTCTCTTTGTTTTGTTTGGTTTAAGAGACTTGTCGTTAATTATTCATTAAAGAGAGGATGCAGGAAAACTGTGAGTTTGAGAAAAGTATTGTCAGGATAGGCATAGTTACCTCGTTTGCTACATTCTGTTCAAAAGCCCTCCGGTTGGTAGACAGACATTGCTGGTTTTTGTAGAACAATTGCCCTTACTTTGTCATATTAATATTTGAATATTCTATACTGGAAAATTCTGAGAAATCATGATACACCGTCTATCTCAGCGAAACAATTCAACAGGCACGAGGGCCAGGTAAATCTGCTGAAATTGATTTATTTCACCATAGGTCAGAATCAAGAATAAATAATTAAATGAAAGTCAGTTTAATTCATCAGCACACACCTGAAGCTTGAGGAGAAATAAAGTAGTTTCCTTTCGTGGTGACACTAGTAGCAGTCTTTTTCAGCACATGCACTGTTTAAACCTCTTCCGTGTTACAAACACTTACTTTAAGACCGCAGAGGACGTCATGAAAACCAGATAGTCAAGCAGCCACTTCTTTCTGAACACCTTCCTTTGGTAGGCGGTGAGGGTGGAAAGGATGCCTGGAGCCTTGGAAGGCAGAGATGGAGGATAAATATAACAGGGCTCCCCGTAGGCTGTGGATGCTCACAGCACGCCCGTCTAGGCATCTCACTCTTTGGCCTCGATCGTAGACAAGCTGGAAGGAAGATGGTGGGAGGGTCCGGGCCCTGGGCCTCAGGAGCCCAACTGTGAGGGCATCCGCCCCTGTGGCTGATTCTTCCAGCCCAGCGGTGGCCCTGGTGCTTGTCCTTGGTGCTTTTACTGTGTTTTGGATTAAGATGGTTCTAATGCCAAGGACTGCCGATCCTCCAAATCAAATTCTAAATGAGGGGAAGAGCTCATGCATGTTGTCGTTTAAAAGATGCTTGGTCATCCGTTCAGCACAACTGAATAAATGTTTAATTTCTAGTAATCATCAGTATTCATCATTAGAAACACTTTTTGAAAACAATATGTTGAAATCTGGGTGTTTTGTCCTGTGGATGTTAGAGGAAAAACTAGGAAGTTTCTCTGGTGTTGCAGATAAATTGATTTTTTTTGTTACATTGTTGTTAAACATTAGAAATTAAAATGATTTTTGAAACCAAGAAAAATTATTCCCCCCAACCTCGTGGTTTTGGGATTTATTAAAAGACCAGCATGACTGCTGAAATATGAAATCTGGTGTTTTGATTTGTTTGGATTCCTTGCCAGAATTTAAAGACTATGATTAATAGTTTATTTCTTATTATTCTAAATGTTATTTAAAAATAGTTAAGCTGGATAAATAATTCCATTAATCAAAATAACAGGAAATGAAAAAATAAATGGCGACCTAATTTGTCTCATTTTTAGCTGTGGCTATTATAATGCAAATGATGGAGAAATCACGTAGGTTGGTACATTTGAATATATGCATAATCTATTTTCAGTATCACTTTTAGAGTCTCAGCATCACAGATCAGAGTTTGAAATTCAGCTCATTTGCTTAAGCTTTTCTTGTTTATTAAACCAAACAAGCATCTTAAAAACACATTTTCCATTTTCTCTAAATAAAATATGCTACCAAAAATCATGAATTAGACCTGGTGACTTATCCAAAATCACCCCAGTCGCATAGCCCTTGTTTACGGCTTGTTGGGTAAGGTTTTAGTCAATAAAGCATCGTGCATAATTGGTCCTCAGGCACTTAGCATTGCCTGCGTGGCTGACCGCAAGCCCTGTTTATAGGCTGACCTCCCTCTGAAGGCTGAGAGGTGCCCCGTGTGTCCTGGGGCATATGGCGGGTGTTTTGTGTGCAGGCCATCGATCCACACCCACCACTACATACACATTTCCCTTGCCTTACTAAAAGAAAGAGAAAGTAGACCTCATAAAGTTCCAGTAGTCAATATCCATCCCTACAACACGGAAATACCTTCCAGAAAGATAGTATTTCTTTCAGCATTACTGAAAAGCCCACAATTCACCGCTGCAAAAAAGAAAAGCGCAATCTTCTAAAAGCAGGCTTCCCATTTTTTGACTGCTCTTTCCCTTTCCGGAGGACAAGGCGATGTGGATGTGCTCAAAAGATTACAGTGTGTCCACTTAATTTGAATATTTCTGTGCCTCCTTTCTTCCATGTTTTATTCATTTCTTAAAAATGCTCTGGGGCTGCTTTATTGAATAATGACATGGTGGCCTCTGGTGAATCAATAACTTAAAACAACTCTCTTAAAAAATGAGGTATTGGAACACATCCCTTCAATTATGAAGAGACAATAGGCATCTCTGCATCTGGATTTGTGAACACAGTTTAACCACCTAGTTGTTTGGTTTATCCGGACTTTGCAGTGCTTCCAAAATAAATATTTTTAAAGCCGTCTGAGCCCTGTAATGTGAAACGTTAGCCCGTCATGGACAGAGAGGCCGTCTTCCTGTCGCCTCTAGAACAGTCCGTTGAGGCCTAACCCAATGCAAGTCTGTGACTTCTGGTCCAAAGGAAGAGTTACCCAGGTGGATGTGCCCTGGGGGTGCCGTCCATGTGAAATCCAGGCACACAAAGCCCCTGTGTTCAGAGGCACCCCCTGACCACTTCTGACGGTCCCTGGCGTCTCTTTTCACTATGCAGAGACGGTCAAGACCAACCACCCAACAGCTGACTGTAACCCCCAGTTTTCTTCCGGTAAACACAAGGCCATTTTCCTTCCCGAATGTGTTTGGAATTGGTTCTTGGTGAGCCCCGTTGATGATGAATACTTCCCGTCAGAACCTCAGAGATCTCTTCACAGCCTGATGTCGCTGTACAAAAATGTAAAACAATCTTTCTCCGTTTACTGCAGGAAATCCACCATCTACTTAGGGAAGTTTTATCACATCTCTCATTCTGTTACTGTTTCCAACATTTCAAATAAACTGCTGTCTCCACCACTGCACCCACCCCCTAAGCCCTCATAAAATTTTGTCGAGTATCTCTCTGTCTTCCACTGCATGTCAACTGGTAGATGCCATGAACACAGAGCCAGCTGTAAGTAGGAGTTTTCTGGAACTATTAAGAAAAGCCTTTAATTCATTATGTCAACCAGACCTTCCCCCACTCCGCCATTGTTTCTGGGGTTCCTATAGGTCTAGCTGGAAACAGAATTTTACATGAGTCCCCTGGTTTACGTATGCATGTTAATTTCTGGTGGTCAGTTTCACTTCAGGATTTTAGCTGAAGGTTAATGCAGTTAAGTAAGATAAATCTGGCCATACTGTTTTTGTCCTCAGATTGTAAACGCTATTGTTCAAACAGGGATGCTTCCCATGTCATTGGAGAGCATTCTCTGAAAGCTGTGGACCCCCATTTATGCTTGGTTTTCTCTCGCAGTTCACTGTAAAATACCCCTTCCCTTTTTCCGGTGTGGTAATTGTTGATGGAAATGGGTGAAAACGTGCTGAAGTTCTGACAGACGTGTGTGAGAGCCGTGCTTTTCTTTTTGTTTGTATGGCCCCAAATTCAGCCTTGTTTTGGAACTACCGTTCACTTGTAAATCCGCTTTGTACTATACAAATTACAATCTGGCTGCCTCCTCATCTTGCCAACTTGTAACCTTCTCTCCAGAGCTGGTTCAGACGTTATCATCTGCCATTCTTACATGTGAAACCATCAGAGAAGTCTAATGATCCTTTCTAAATCACACTGGAAATGATTCTTTTTCAAGCCGCCTCTCTTTAGGGCAGCAAGGCACATTTAAACTTACTTCATGCTTGTTTTATAGTATGAGTTACAGCTCAAGTCAGGTCTTTGCCTACTTGGTTGGCTTGCTCTGTGAAGGTCATTGTTTGTGTTCTTGGATGTTGATTAGAAAATTAATAGGAAAAATGCATTTAGAAACCAGAAGGCAGAAATGAGCTTTTCTCCTGTTCTTTCCTTTTTCTCACCCAGGGGAGAGACCATTCTAACACAGGTACCGTCCAGACAGTGCCTCTCAGAAAGGGAACCTAAAGGCGTGTTTCCGACGCACCCCAGGTCCCCGTAACGGCCATTAGCAGTACCCTCACGATGTCCCCGCAGCCTCCCACCTGTGACCTGGCCACTCCACGGAAGAACAGCCGGAGAACTCCTGAGCAGACACCTCACATCCCGAGCCGCTGCGCTGGAGTGGAACCTGAAGGCAGATGCCTCTCCTTGTTAAACGTTCAGAAATAAATGAAGATGCTATACTCTAGAAATACATGTAGATACTATATACACATTTACGTGCTCATCGCCCATAGTCCCATATTTTCTTATAATAAACAGTAGTACTGGCAGGCACAGTAGGGGCACAAGGCATCTATCTTATTCAAGACAAGTTTGAGACACTGGAAAAAAAGATACTTGTTACGTGTGTTGGACAGAGTGGCGAGGCTGAGCACTGTCACAGGGGCCTCCCATGCTAAGAGGGACTGTGGAGATGATGTCAGCAAAAACCATGGTGGATTTGAGGTTGATCGAGTATTAATACTACTGCCTCTCCTTGTCTTAGTGGGTATTTAAAATAGTAAATGAGAGAGGGGAAGGTTCAGGTGCTGTGGGAAGCAGGCTTGGTGGAGGGGCATGATGATGGGACCCTCATGCTGGTTCCGTCGCACTCTCCCTGGGGGTCGTGTGCCTGTTCCATTCCTTCCACCATTCGAACTGAGCGAATCTGGCAAAGGCGACACGTCTGTGGGAATGCGTAGATTCTGCCTCGGAAGAGAGCTAGTGGAACACTAAGAAAAGCAGGCTTCTTGTTTATTCTCAGGACCTTTTTGTAACAGGGCTACATTCTGCAAACTGCTTACAAAGGAAGACTATACGTCTTAACAAATTATTTAGCCACTGAGTCCTCCCGATTCGGACCTGTTTTAGTAATGGCAGAAGAATCCCTGAGCAGGTTCAGGGGCCCTAGATAACTAGGGTGCTGAGCTCTGGCACCTTCTGTCCCCACTCTTTGCCTCCCCGCCCCTTCCCTGAGCCACCCCAGCAAGTGGGTGTGTGTTCTCCCTGGGCCTGGTGACCTCCACAGGATGAGTAACTTCGTTCATAAAGGGTGGGGATCACCAGCCCCTTGGGTGGGGACGGCTCTATATACCTCTTCCTCAGTAATGCAAATGCGAGTTTTTGTGGTGGGGGTTAAGGCCCATAACAAAGGATCTTAAACCATGCAGTGTACGCAATTGAAATTGTATTCCACAGATATAAATATTTTCTTTTCCCATTGCCGTGACACTATGTGTGATGGTAATATTTCTGAGAGTTTCAGATTTTTGCACATATGATTTTATGCATTATCAAAAGTTACTGCTGCCTTGAATGAAAATGTTCTGTGAAATTTTTTGCAAAAGCTTTACTAGGTTTTTTTTTAATTGTGAAATTTTGTAAAGGCAGGAAATGGATTAAAACGAGCATGCTAAATATATTTTTCAAAAAAGCAATAATTTTACATGTACAGAAATTATCCTAACCTTTAATACTGGTGAGAGCAACAGTTTACTTAATACAGTAATGGATTAGTGCAGTTTTTGTAGACAGTGGGCTTCTGATACAAAGTCTTGTTTAAACACACACACACACACACACACACACACACACACACACGCCCCCCCTAAAGTGTGGGTTTCCTGTTCTAATGATTTGTTGAATATTATTATTATTATAATATTATTATTATTGTTGTTGTTATTGTTATTAGTTAATGTTTGGTTCTGGATTCTACTTGTTACTGAGTTTAAATTACTTGACGGTTCAGGTTACTTTGCAACACTTTCAAACAATGCAATGTAACTGGCTAGCTTATATATATATATATATTTTTTTTTTTTTTTTTTACTTATTTTTTTCTGATCCTCTTACACCAGATATGTACGAAAATGATCTGTTCTGTGGGTGTAATTAGGAATGTCCATGCAGATACAGTTAAGCAACTGTAATTGGCTGTTCTGTAAAGTTATTTTGAGCAGAGTTGCAGACACACATTCCTCTGTCCACCTAAGAAATCAGAAGACTCTTGTGTTGATTTATGTTTAATCATTTCAGTAGTTTCCCCACAGTGATCATTCTGCATTTTCTGGCTTTTGTCTTCTTGGCCGGAAGTGAACGGTGACTGTTAGGAATGTCAGGGACTAGTGGCCCAGTCCCGTTTCTCTGTGTGTTAGTTAATTAAAAAAACATTCTGGACCCAAAGTGACACAAAAGTGTAGTCTACATTTTTACGGTTTCAGAAGCGGCATGGAAAAGTGCAGTTGGCCTTTGGAGCTGGAAGTGTCTTGCTGGCGAGTCTCCATCCTGGAGAGTCTGGTGGGGAGTGGGCTGGTGCTGGGGCCCCGCCGGCCGCGGGCTGGATCCTTCCTGGCTTGCAGGAGAGCAGGCGTGGAGGACAGTCAGCTTGCGGGGCCGCGCAGGGTGCAGAGTGCAGGAGGAAGGTTTTCACCCAGCTAAACAGACCGGGGGGGCCACCCCCAAGAATGCCATCCCCTGAGGCCAGCTGTGGGCAGGCCGAGGTGTGTGGTCCCTTCCTTCACCAATCATCAGTATTGTATTGGTTTGTTAATTTGTTGATGTCAGTTCGGTCATAGTATTTAATATGATTTGTGTTTTCTTATTTATTTAGCCACTGTTTGATTCCCTTTTTTTTCCGAATGGTAATTTCTGCATGATACACTTCTGTACGTTGTCTTCTGACTGTTACAGACTTTCTACTACCTCTCCCGATCTGCTGTTTCCTTGTTTCTTAACAGGATTTTTTACAGTGTTGCGTCTAATGTAACTTAGACAATAAAGGGTTTGGTTGTCTACACTGCAGCTTCTCTGTGTCTGTCCCCTGCTTTCCGCTCGCTGCTTCCCCCTCTGCCCCTGCTGGGGCCTGGCTCCACCCTGGCCTGCCTTCCCGCACTCTTCCTGTTCCCTGCTCACATCTCTTCCTCATTTTTGCATTCAAATAACACACAGCTAATGAGCTTCTAAAAATCTTTCAGGTTGTTCACTCGTATCCCTTAATTTGAAGAATGAATATTTAAATTCTCTCAAAAGTCAGCTGTTGAGGATCTTCCCTGGGAAATCAGCCACTGTACCTGCCTACCTTTCTGCCTGGTCCCGGAAGGCCTTATTGTCATCTTAGACGGACAGATTCCGTTCTCAGCACCACACAGACTTGGCTTCAAAGCCCGGTGAATTTTGCCTTTGAGGCTGTGAAAAGTATTAAATGTTATAAGAGGTTCCCCAATATTTACTTATTTATTTTTTAAGCCAAGAATGACACTGGTTTCCTGAAAAGCAGGTGCTTCAGGAAGTAGCAGTTGGGAGTTGTATACAGTTACTTCGTCAGAGAAGGGAGCGCCCAGTATGACAGGCCACGCCCCTGATCTGGCCACTGTGCACAGGTCGCTGAGGGCACGAGAACACCTCTGCAGGGGCTCCGGCACATGTGGGTTTCATCATTTCACACGCCTTCAGGGCGCAGGGTTGAGCGCGGGAAGGGGAGCTTCCTCTCCAGGGGGGCCTCTCTGGTGGGCCTCTGTTCTTTGGACAGAGAGACAGGGTGTGGCTTACGGGGTCAGTAGTGATGCCTTCTGGATCAAAGAAAGTGGGTGCAGTGCTTAGTCCGCTGTGTGGAAGAGGGCACCTCCTGGGCTTTCGTGGCTGGAGACTGTCTGCCAACATTCCTTCCTTCAAACTAGACAAACCCTCCTCTGCCACCCCCAGCACATTCTCAGAGGTTTCCAAGCTGTAGAAAAGGGAAGGAAGGAAGGACGGCATTCATATAGCTTTACTTTCCACTTCAGAACGTCTTAAGTAGCATATGTTGTTTTACTGCTTTTAACTTGGGTGAGTTCTAATTTCAGAACGTTTTGTTCACTGAGCAAAAAAAGATGCAACCACCACAGGCCAGGACTTCAAGTGAGGAGGACGCCTGTGTTTGCCGTGGTTGGTGGTTGGTGGGAGCCCGCTCTGGGGCCCGGTAACATGCCTGTGGGAAGTGATCCAGGGGCCACCCGCCCAAGGGAAAATGTTCATTCTTCATCAGCTTTGCTAATTCTACTTTGAGGCAGTAAAATGCAAAAGGCCATAGAATTTGTATTTCCTTTTTTAAAATACAATTTATAACATTATATTTTGTACTCTTTATATTAGAATTTGTAACTAGATTGATGTATTTAACTCTATTTCTGAAAAAGTAATTCAATGTTTTAGTTGTGTGATAAAAATATTTAGATAAAACATATTCATTCTATTGGAATTTGAAATAAATAAAAACATCTTGGAGTTCTGAGATTTGTAAGACATTTTTCCCCAATTTCAGAGGGTGGCTTACATCGTTTGACAGCCCGCTTTGATCTGTGGTTATTTATTTTTGTTGGCTGAACATAAACCAAAGTGTTAATGCTCTTTATTTATAGAAGAATTTTAGGATGATTCACAAGATCGTTCATCTGAAAAGATGCCCAGATGGCCCGAGTTTTTTTTTTTTTCAACTCTTGTGGACTCCGGGACATTCACTGTTTGTAATGGAAGATGCTGTGTTTTTCTCAGTTTTTTTTGCAGCACCTCTTATTTCCCCACTGAATACACTCACTGTTCTTACCCTTGCACTGTCACCCATACAGGACGTATAGGGATGGACGCAGAAGGAATTCTGACTCAGCCACACCTGGAGGAAATTACTGTGTCAAACGTGGGGACACAGAGGGGCTGGCATTGTGATTTGCAATGGTTTACTGATGAGACAGCGAAAATGAGACAGGACCATCAGATGCAATAAAGATTCTAATTTAAAAAGATAAAATGTGTTTTTAAATTAAAAGATATAACTGTGTCTCTACTGGCTGAAGAAAGAACGGACTAGATAAGTTCCTGAATGTGGCTTCCCAGATGGGCTGGGCAGGAAATGGAACTTTGAACAGCAGTGGGCGTCCCTCCCCCCACCCGAGCCTCTAGCCCTCTGCGCCACTCTGCGGTGAAAATGCTGCTTCGGAAGGCCTTTGATGATCCGAAAGGCCTTTGCGTCAAGTGCAGAGCTTGTCTAACTCAGCCGAGGTTTATGCCTCACTGTTCAGAACCTCCTTCCTCTTGGATGGCTGGTTCTTCTGAGAAGGGCGTGCATCTGAAACGAAGTGGCAACACCAAAGTCCTTAATAGGTAGCTGACATTGAAGCGAAGGGCTAAGAACACTTGTGCTAGGACAAAACAAAACCCTGGCCTACATCTCCCTGTGTCACGGGACATGGTCAGTTCCCCCCCGGTAGCACAGGAGCTTACTGGTGTTTGCTATAGCTGCATCCCAGACCCTTTGGTTCCACAAGTAACCAAGCTGCTTCCCCACGGAAGGCAGTTTTACGTCCTTTATCCGCCTCCTGTTCACCCAGCAGTGAGGGCGCAACGTCTACACCGGCTGCTCTGGAGGTCTCGCTGGGTGGGAAATGGGGGAAGGCAGTGGTGCGCGGTCTCCGTGTCTGCAATTCATCCATGTCATGCTAGGCGCAGAAGCTGGGAATCGTGACGTCCCCCCACCCCCAACAATCTAAAACCTTAATACATTCATCCCAGCACCTTTACTTTCCCTTCCTTAGCTGTTTGAAAACGGTGGTGCGTTTCTAATGTGTGTTACTAATGTTCTCAATCTTAACCTTTTAAAAGGATACTATTGTAAAATTACAGAAAGAGAACGTGAGATGCCCTGGTCTTTACCAGTGTGACAAGTTCTTGGGATGTGTGATTTCCTCACTGTCCGCCGAGGCACGGGGGCTTATGATGGCTTTGAGGAAGGGGAACTTCCTTAGGGATCTGGCGCAGGTTGACGGTCACACATCCCTCTCTGATTTCCTTATGGGTGGGAAAAATGTAGCGAAACAATTGGAACGAGAATGCTGTCTCGGTCCTTTCAGGCTGCTATCACAAAATACCTAAGACTGGGCATATTTTTTGCTCACAGTTCTGGAGGCAGGGACGTTCATGATCAATGTGGTGGCAGCAGGTTCCGTGTCTGGGCAGAGCTTTTCGCTTCATAGATGGAACCTTCTTGCTGTGTCCTCATGTGGAGAAAGGCGAACGAGCCCCCTCGGGCCTCATTGATGAGGGCCCTGATCCTACTCCTGAGAACTCTGCCCTCATGACCCTGAGCACCTCCCGAAGACCCCACCTGTTTATACCAACCCATCGGGTATCAGGTTTCAACGTAAGAAATTCGGTGGGAACACAGACATTCAAACCGTAGCAAATGCTCTCTCCTGTTTTCATTTTTCAACTGACGAAGATGTGGAGATTCCCATTCCAAGTCCTTGGGTGGGTTTTTCCATCTGCCAAGAGTAAATTCTTAACTTCATTGCCAACAGTTTCAAGTTTTAAAGGGCAGGAGGACAAGGGGACTCCATCTTGCTTTTTTATGTGCCCAGATTTGTCCACGGAAGAACAGTATTCAGGTCACAAGCATGAGACCCACTTGACTCCGTACATCAATCTCCTTATGTCCTGCTCTTCCATTCATAAGAGTGGCATTGATGGACCGAATGTTCCCAGGACAGGGTTACTGGGTCTAAAGGGAGGGTTTAAGACAGACTTCACAAAATTAGGTGAACCGCTGTGAAATATTTGGAGGTCTGGTATGGGTATTTTGATTATAGAACTGTCGATGTGTGGTGGAAGGAATAGGCTGACACTGCCTCAACATAAAACGCCACCCGTGGGTCAGGCTGTGCAGCAGATAACTCGCCCTGACCCTGCGTCCTAGCAGAAACTCAACATTCATTTTTAAGGAATACAATATCAGAGTCCTTACTCGGAGAAATAAATTGGAACCAGATAAACATGCAAGTTTCACTTAATCAGAAGATCTTAGGCTTCTTTAAAACTGTAGAAATCATACAGAAAGTTTTCAACTGTATGAATTTGCTTAACAAATTCTGTGCCATATAGTAAGCACTGAAATAGGTGCAGGCATAGAAAGATGAACAAAACGGAACCTGCTTTTTGGGCTGTCACAGTGGAGGAGGAACATGGGTCTAAAAATGATGAGTTCTAGGCCAGGCACAGTAGCTCACACCTGTAATCCCAGCACTTTGGGAGGCCGAAGTGGGCGGATCACGAGGTCAGGAGATGGAGATCATCCTGGCCAACATGGTGAAACCTCGTCTCTACTAAAAATACAAAAATTAGCTGGGCGTGGTGGCGCACACCTGCAGTCCCAGTTCTACTAGGGAGGCTGAGGCAGGATAATCGCTTGAACCAGGGAGCCAGAGGTTGCAGTGAGCTGAGATCACACCACTGCACTCCAGCCTGATGACAGAACGAGACTGTCTCAAAAAAAACAAAAACCAAAACAAAACAAAAAACAAAAAGAAGATGAGTTGTAATTCAGAGGGAATACATACAAGCTCACAATGTCTGTGGAAGAAGAATGGAGCCTCTTCCATTGGGGAGTGAGGTCTAGGATCTAATCAGATCTAATCTAGGATCTAATCAGGTGACACCCACGTGAAACTTTTGGAAGGATGTGATATAATGGGGTAATTAGGTGGCATTAAAACTTGCCTCTGATAGTAAACCTTAGTTGACTTGGAAAATCTGTAAGAAGATCTTAAGATGGGAGAGACAAGTGACACGTAAATTTCAGTGAGGAAAAGCTAAGGGAGTGTATTTTTGGAAATAACCCGTAGTACAATTAGAACATACTTTGTCAAATCTGACAGAGGAAAGAGACTGAGATCGTTGTCAACTATTCCTTGATGACATTAATTCAAAGTGAGGCTTCAGGCAGCAAAATTGGTAGCCTGTGGATCAGCAGGCAGGAGACTGTGGGGAAAATGGCACGGTGGCCCACCAGCGCCATAAAGGTACCGTGTGCCTGTTACTGAGTTGATATGTGCATCTGTTACTAAAATTCAAGGAACTAGACAAAAGCCAGAGGTGGACAACACAGTGGCTGAGGGGAAACTTCAACATCAGATGTAGAAAAAGTGAGATGGATTAGTTAAGAGGCTAAGAGGAAGTCTGTGACGGGAACAGCATGGATCAGATAGACATTTTGTACAGTGACTCTCTAGGCCTATGTGTAGGCAATACAGCTTTAAGTCTTGAGAGAGAGATTTATAAGAAGTTAATACTTAAGGCCGGGCGCGGTGGCTCAAGCCTGTAATCCCAGCACTTTGGGAGGCCGAGATGGGCGGATCACGAGGTCAGGAGATCGAGACCATCCTGGCTAACACGGTGAAACCCCATCTCTACTAAAAAATACAAAAAAACTAGCCGGGCGAGGTGGCGGCGCCTGTAGTCCCAGCTACTCGGGAGGCTGAGACAGGAGAATGGCGTGAACTCCGGAGGCGGAGCTTGCAGTGAGCTGAGATCCGGCCACTGCACTCCAGCCTGGGCGACAGAGCGAGACTCCGTCTCAAAAAAAAAAAAAAAAAAAGTTAATACTTAAAAGGGCTACCTGTGTGCCAGGAACTCAGATGTTTTCATCTAATTTATCTTATTCAAGTCTCACAGTGCTCTTCAACGTAGGCACTATTAACTCAATCTTATAGATGAAAACTGACAGAGAAGGGTAACGTACCCAAAGAGACACAGCCAGTAACCTGTGGAAACACCAGTGGAGTCCATGTCTGCTGTGCGTGCAGACCTACCAGTCTGCACTCTTCTGCTTTGTTATACTGACTGGAGGGATGCATGCAGTTAGTAAGAAGGATCATCCCTGTTGCATGTCCCTGTCGATCATCACTATAAGGGAATATCTGAGGCTGAGTAATTATTCAGAAGAGAGGTTTATTTGGCTCGCGGTTCTGCAGGCTGTGTAGGAAGCACAGCACTAACATCTGCTGGGATTCTGGTGAGGCTTCAGGCTGCTTCCACTCATGGTGGAAGGTGGAGGGGAGCTGGTGTGTGCAGAGATCACACAGCAGAGAGGAAGCAAGGGGGTGAGGTACCAGGCTCTTAAACAATGGGCCTCCTGGAAGTTAGTAGAGCAAGAAATCCCTTAACCCCCACCCCTAGGAGGGAATTAATCTGTTCATGAAGGATCTGCCTCCATAACCCAGACACCTTCCCTTAGGCCCACCTCCAACATTGGGGATGAAATTTGGGCATGAGGTTTGGATGGGACACATATCGAAACTATAGCACGTGTTACTACTTTCCAAAACACTGAGACACCCATTACCCGCATGGATCACTGCAGCAACCTGGGGTGTGGATCCCGTCAGCGAGACGATTGGAGGTCCTCAGTGGATCAAAACAAGATGTTATGGATTTCTGAGCTTCTGCCTCAGAGGGATCAAGGCTTCTTCTGGG